ACGCAGATGTGTCTTTTATGACCCGTAGCACCAACAACACGCACGGTAAAGTTGCTCAAACTGTGGCAGTAAAACCACCGTCGGGAGAATAGACTCTATATCAACGCCGTCTGCACCACCACCACTACCACAACCTTCCTCCTCCTTCTACTCCTCCTCCTACTACTACTACTACTACTACTACTACTACTACTACTACTACTCCCGCCGCAGTCATAAGGCCAGTGACACACATACACACACACCTACAACCAGCCAGCCAACTCACCAGCTGCAGCAACAAGAATGGGTGTTGGTGCTTGTATAGTAGCAACAGAATCATCATAAAAACACAACACCCAAGAGAATCATCAGTTGACAATGCCATCAGATTCATCACCTTCGAGAACACACACACGTAGAAGCAGAGAGAGAGAGAGAGAGAGAGAGAGAGAGAGAGAGAGAGAGAGAGAGAGAGAGAGAGAGAGAGAGAGAGAAGCTACGAGGTCCACACAAGCAGTAACAATAAAAGTAACAACGAAAGCCTCACCGCCAGCAGTTCCAGCAGCAACAATAGCAATATCACCAACAAAATTACTGTCAAAAGCAAAAATAGTGACGCGGTCAGAAAAAGAGAGACGGCGGTACTTAAGAGCGACACAAGCAGTCTTTGCCGCAACAAGAGTGAGGGTACAATGCGTCCACCAATTGTCAGTGTTGAAAGTTAGGTTCTGTGGTAATCGTGATAGTAGTGGAGGTAGTAATAGTGGTTGTAGTAGTAGTAATAGTAGTAGCTATTGTCGTGTAGTATAGTAGTAGTAGTTATTGTCGTGTATATTAGTAGTATTAGTTATTGTCGTGCTGTAGTAGTAGTATTAGGATAGTTAATTTTAAGGTAATAAAATGGCGGCGAAGGTGTAGCTATTGGGGGAGTCTGGAGGCCATGTTTAAAAAAAAATAGTAATAGTAGTAGTTATTGTCGTGTAGTAGTAGTAGCAGTCGTTATTACCTTTTTTATTTTAATACTTAAGAAACACGAGGCTCAGTACCATTAAATACGTCACCAAGAATATAACATCAACATCGAGCGGTGACGACAACAAAAGGACAAAAGACTTCACAGCAGCAACAGCGGAAGTGAACAGCAGCAACAACAGTAAAACGTCAACATCAACAGTACAGCGGTAACAGCAGATGGGGAGATCAGTCAGAACAGCACAGCAGGCAGCGGCAATGGGGGACTTCCTTCTCTTTGTAAGCTGATTTAAATCAAGATCAATACAAGTTAATCCGGGAACAGTGCCGCCCCGCCCAGCTTGCTCTCTCTCTCTCTCTCTCTCTCACTCTATCTCACACACACACTCTCTCTCTCGCGCACTCTATTTCATTCAGACACACACTCTCTCTCTCTCAGCTCAACATGTTGCTCCCTCCGCCCAAGAAACTTTTAATCATCAGAGACTTAACCTTGAAGGAACAATTTACATCACCTTTTTCTTCTCCACATTCAGTCACCAATAGCATCTCACTGCTGCCACAACAATCTCCTCTCTCTCTCTCTCTCTCTCTCTCTCTCTCTCTCTCTCTCTCTCTTCCTTCCTATCTGCTATCTCCCTCTTCTCCCTCCTGTCCTCCTCTCATTTTCTCCCTCCCTCCTTTCCTCCTCTCCTTTTCTCCCTCCTCTCCTTCACTCCCTCTCTCCCTCTCTCCCTCCCTCCCTCCCTCAGTACTAATATCAAGAGCTCATCTGCTGACGAAGTTGGAACAAATAAATCACTGGACGGGAGATTACAACAGTCGACGGCTCATAACCTCACGTGAAAAATGAACTGATTTCGAGACAACAGCGATGGTTTCCAGGGCGAAGGGGGGTGTAATACCACCGTCGGTAGATCTATGAGGCATGTCCAGCTCACGACCGACGTAAGAAAATAGATAAAAGGAAAAAACCCGAAGGAGAAGAACCTGCCGAGAATAATATCAGGACGGAGGCATATTGGCAGCGTCTGACACAACTTAGCCTCGGGTACTGAAGGGGAGGACAACGCTACCATCATCTTCCCTTCTTCACTCGACTGCAACTGCTGATGGTGATGCTATTCCTACTACTGATACTGCTACTGCTGCTACTACCCCTACTACTGATACTCCTACTGCTGCTTCTACTCTTACTGCTGATGCTACTCCTGCTGCTACTGCTACTCTTACTGCTACTGCTCCTGCTACCCCTACTACTGATACTACTACTGCTGCTTCTACTCTTACTGCTGATGCTACTCCTACTGCTACTGCTCCTGCTACCCCTACTACTGATACTCCTACTGCTGCTTCTACTCTTACTGCTGATGCTATTCCTACTGCTACTGCTCCTGCTACCCCTACTACTGATACTCCTACTGCTGCTTCTACTCTTACTGCTGATGCTACCCCTACTGCTACTGTCCTCCTCACAGCAACCCCTGGGCCAGATGAAACCAGCGCCGTGCATCGATTTTTCATACTGAAGTCACACATTAGTTAAAGCAGGTTAGGTTAGATTGATCACCTGAGAATTCCCACACGAGAAGAGAAACATGAATCCTCTCTAACACCGTGTGAGCTGAGAGACCTATTGGAGGCTACTAGGACCACGTGATGTAGGGAGTGTAAGCAAGTGCAGATTGTGACCAGCCAGAGACCAGGACTGCATCAGGTGAAACCTGTATACCGCTTAAGGCGTCAGTATCAACTCTTACCCAGACAGTTAAAAAGTTCGGCTGCCCTGTGACCATTGAGATTACTTCCATATACAGTTAATTTGTATGTTCACTCTATCACCGCTAGAAATCCAGCCACACAGAAAGACAAAACAAATTGATAATGGTGTATACATAAAAAGAAAAGGAGGAGGAAGTGAAGGAGGATGAAATAGATAATGAAACAATAAAAATGACTCAACACAGAAGGAAAGAATATGTAGAGAGAACAAAGATGACGAAGAAATGTAAAAATAAAGGCACAAACGAAGAAATAATAATAATAATAATGGTAGTGAAGATCATAATACAACAGGGAACTTATATAGTCTCTCACAACAAAGCCAGCAGTGTCTTATGTATCAAAGGGCTCCAAGCCTATGTTTTTAAAGCTTCATTCTTTTCTCTTTTTTTTATCTGGAGACGAGAAAATGCCTCTAGCCACTTACGTCAAAGACGAGAGAATGGAAGCCTAGTAGAGATTTTTGTTTTTCTTTGTTTTTTTAGGTCGAAATTGCACCGAGGCATTACAGTAAGTAGGTAAACTCTTTCATATATACGAGTTGGTTAAAGTGAGTGACGAGGTTATGAGAATCCTTAACGATAGAAGGGATAATGAGCTAACAGTGTTGAAACAAAGAAACGCTCTCTTTAAAAAGTCCTTTATCCTCGAGGAGTTTTATCCAAGTATCAGAGTCCTTCAACCTGCCATCCTCCAACTCAATCCTTCAGGCACTCGGAGTTCACAATAGACATCCAGAAAACAAAAGCCAAGAAACTCCTACTCCCAACTCCCAAATAAAAAAATAAATAAAAAAAGCCTTTGGGTAACTTTCCAAAGCATCAAGAGGAATGTAGGGTAAAATAGCTCTCTTTTAATGAGGCGGATGTCTTTTGTCGCCCCCCTGGTCATCTTTGTGTTCTAAATCCTTAAAAAAAAAAGTTAAATAATAATAAAAAATAATACTTTTTTATCTCCCAGTACGGAGCGCTATACCCGAGGGGGAAAATTTGAATAATAGTTACGCTGTTCTGTCATCTCCCTTGGAACAGACAGTAAAAGAAGAGAATGTGAAAAATGGGACGAAAATGGGGTTGAACGTTTCTCAGGTGAAGCGAAAAATGGGGAATATGGGAGGAGGGAGAGGGGTGGGTGGGGGGTATGAGAGCCAGGTCATGAGGAGGAGGGGATGGGGGAGGTGAGGGCATGAGAGCCAGGTCATGGGGGAGGGAAGGGGGTAAATGAGGGTACGAGAACCAGGGTAATGGGGAGAGGGTACGAGAACCAGGGTAATGGGGAGAGGGTATGGATGGTGAAGTAGGAGACCACGACCTAAACTCTGACGAATTTTGCCCCTACCCCTTACCCCAATCCCTCTCTCCCCCTCCCCCTTCCCCACTCTCCCAACCCTTTCCACCTCCCTGCTCACGACAGTCCGAAAAATGATACGGGTGACGCTGCTGTGGTTGATTGTGGTGGTGCTGTGGTGTTGTGGGTCCTTGTGGTGGTGTTGTGGCTCATGATGCTGCAGTTGTTGATTGTGGTGTTATTGTGGCGGTCATGGATGGCTATTAGTAATTGGCTGGGGTCTATATTAGAACTAATTAGAACTGGGGTCTGATGGCTAGAACTATGGGGGTCTATTAGAACTGGGGTCTATTGGAACTGGGGTCTATTAGAACTAGGATCAATCAGAAATGGGGACTATTAGAACTGGGGTCTATCAGAACTGGGGTCTATTAGAACTGGGAGCTCACTTGATAAACCTTAAATCAAATCAAATAAAACCACTAATTACATATCTCATGATTTTCTGAAGGTCAGGTCAAGTCAGGTCAGGTCAGATCAGATCAGTTCAGGTTTTAAAAGGAGGCTAGATAGATTCATGGATCAGACAGGAGCTCAGATCAGTCCTCATGTTTTATGTCAAGGTCAGGTCAAGGTCAGGTCAGGTCAGATCAGATTTAGTTCAGGTTTTAAAATGGATGCTATAGAGAGCATGGTTGTATGATAGAGAGTGGTTGTAACTCTAGACAGGAGCTGCCATGCACAGGCCAATTGGCCTATTGCAGACTCCTTATCTTCTTATGTTCTTATGTCAGGTCAGGTCAGGTTAGATTAGATTAGGTCAGGTCAGGTCAGATCAAGTTAGGTTTAGGTTAGGTTAGGTTAGGTGTAATATCGCTTCATATATCGTGTCACGTATTCGCCTAAAAGCTCACCATCGTAGCGGAAATCATGCAAGAGCTGCCTCTGTTCTTTGCCTTGGGTGTTGCTAGGTTACGGTTATCAATTATATATTTATGTCATATATTTATGTCGTGAGATAGAAAAAGGTTTAAGCCTTTATGTTTATGTCACTGAGGTTGTGGAAAACCTGTATTTCAATGGGGGAGTCATGGGGGTGTCATGAGGGTGTCATGGGGGTGTGTTATAGGAGTGTCATGGGGGAGTCATAGGAGTTGTGTTCTTAGCTCCCGGGGATTAATTGTCAGTAATGGCTAGTGCTACTTGTGAACAGGGTTGTGCCCTTCAGAGGGCCGAGTTAGAGAGGGCCAAGGAAGAAATCTTGAAATAAATGGAAGTGATAGCGAGGATGAAGGAAGAAACGAGACAAGGAAAGGCCGTGTCTGGCGGAAACTAAGTCGAATGGAAGGTTGTGAGGAGAGGGACGACCAAACTGGTGGTGAAAAAACACACCAAGGATACGACAACAACAGCTAAGTGTACCAACTTTTTCAGTCCTTTGATAGTCATGGACAAGGCAGACAAGGAAGGTACGAAAACCTGAATTGTTGGCGATTCCCAGGTACGGTACCTGGACAGAGCTTTTTGTGGTAAAAATAAAAATAGGCTGAGGGTGTGTTTGCCAGGAGCTGGGGTGGGGGATATAGTCGACAGGATGGACAATATTTTGTCTGATAATGGGAACAAACCCATTATCTGAATTAGTGCAGGAGGCAATGATATTGGCAGGTGTAGGAGTGAGGAGCTTCTTGATAAGTTCAAGGCAGCTATAGAATGTATTAGGTCGAAGGGAGGGATCCCTATCATATGTGGTGTCCTGCCTAGAAGGAGAGTTGTTAATGAATGGTTGTCAAGGGCAGTTGGTGTTAACGGCCGTCTTGACAGATATTGCAAGTCAATATCAGTCCCATTCATTGACAACTGGGACAACTTCTTCGGCAGAAGGGACCTTTATGCTAGGGATGGGGTGGCAACCCTGGCTTGTTCTCTCGAGAGGGCAGTTCAAAAGATGTCGAAGTCTTTAAACTGCTCGGGGATCATATGAGCACGGGGGTGGAGGAGACTGCAGTGGGAGCGGGTAAACACAGTGAAAGGTTACAGGGAAATAGTGTTAGGAATGATGACAAAACTAAATTAGGCAGGGAGTTAAAACCTAAACGCGACAAAGAGAGGACTCAGAACACGACTAACTTAAAAGTCTAGTACGCAAACAGTAGAAGTATGATAAACAAAATTAATGAAATCAGGGCGTTGATACGTACCGAACAAATCGATATACAAGTAATAACATTCACCGGAACAAGGATAAACCTAGACTCACGTGAGTTACCTGTCGAATACCAAATTGCAGGTTACAAATTATTCAAACATAGGTTGGATGCTCATATGAGCAATAGGGGTTGGGTGTAAACGGAACTGCCCAGTATGAGCCAATAGGCCCGCTGCAGTTTCCTCCATTCTTATGTTCTTATGTTCTTATGTATACAGATAGGCAGATAATGAAAAGAGGCGGAGTAGCAATCTATGTCAAGGATAATCTGAAGTGTGAAATAAATAAAGAAATAAAAACTGAACGGAATACAGAAACAATTTGGATAGAACTAATTGGTGGTAGGGAAAAATTAATCACAGGAGTAATATTTAAACCTAAGCTTGATAGAGTTAATGAGCGACTTATTTAGGAAGAAATGCACAGGGCTTCCATACATAGCAAAGTCTGTATAGTAGGCGACTTTAACTTTAGCCAAATAGATTGGATTAACCTTACGGGTAACTCAGAATTAGAGGATTTTCTTGAAACAATCCAGGACTGTTTCCTAAGCCAACATATAACCGAACCCACCCGGGGTAATAATATACTCGATTTAATTCTGTCAAACAGAGAAAACCTCATTAGTAATGTCGAGGTAGGGAACGAACTTGCTAACAGCGATCACAAAGTAATTAGATTCCAGTTAGAATTTCAGAGCAGCCGCAAGGAAAATTTCACTAAAGTCCCAGTTTGAAGAGGCAGCTGAGAAAAGGGGTATCATGCTTGGGGGTGAATTACATGACCTCACATGAGGTGACCTCGCACAATGTACCCACAGAGGGCGACCTCACCTTGCCTGGAGACCTGACGGTTGAGGATGACCTGATAACGAGATCTGAGGTTGACGAGTTCCACAACAACTTAAATAATGAATTACTTAATGCACAAAGGCAAAACATACCATACAGAAAACTCAGATCAAACAACAATGACCTTAAATGGATAAATAATTATTTTAAGAATATTATTGGATAATGGAAGGCTATAGGTAGGAGAATAAATCGTGGTGAAGTTTACCTCCGAAATTATTATAAGGTATTGGCCGGCAGGGTTAAGACCGAGATAAGAGAAGCAAAGAGGAATAATGAACTGAAGGTAGCAAGGGAGGCGAAGTCAAACCCCAAGGGATTCTATCAAATGTATCAAACTAAAACACGAGAAAAGATTGGACCAATACAGTCAGATACCGGCGAGCTAACTGATAACGACAGAGAAATGAGCAATAA